ATCAACCGGAATCCCACCAAAGTTGCCACAGCGCTCGCAGAAGACCGACCTGCGATCTACAGCAAGCCGCAGCCAACTGCCGAGGAGCGAATTCGAGCCGATCTCCGTCGGGAGCTCGACAAGACGCGCCGGGATTTTGCGCAGTTCACCGAGGACGCCGAAAAACAGATTGCAGGATTGAAGTCGAAGCTCGAGGAGAAGGAACAGATCATCCGCAAGTTTGAGATGTTCATTGACATCTGCAATCAGCGGGTCATGGTGCAGCGAGAAAGGCTCTCAGGGCCGGAAAGCGGTGCCGGGGCTGGGTCGTCTGCTGGGCCATCAGTTGGGGCGTTGACGGGCACGGCGCCTGGGGAGCAACGCTGACGTTGATTTTTTCCTCCGATTTACAGTTGTCTTGCTTTGTTTCGTCAGATGGATCAAGGGATCATGGTGGTAACCGGCGCATGCATTGGAACGGATGGAAGGTACAGGTTTTGCTCAGGACGGCATCGTGGCTCGTCTTGTGTCGCATGGCTCACAGCAAGGGAAGTTTCGAGTGATGTTTAGATAGATCTTCATGTGGAGTCGTCGCGGAACAAACACGGATGCCGGATTGTCGACGGGATAAGGACAAGGGCATGGTGCATTATTTGCTAGCGCTTGAAATTCAAATAGTCAACCGTCTTCACCAACATTGTACCACATACGATGTTTACCACAGCCCAGCCTTGATATTGAAGAGGTTTGGATTGGCTGACACAACGAGGCTCAAGCTACGCGGGTTCGATATGTACCTAAGGTTCCACGGCTGAGACCTGCTGAGCAGGTACCCACAGCAAGTTCATTGTGATGCAGGAACGAGCTGCACCGCTGTCCCTATGTGATCAGATGTACAATCCACTCCGCAACTTGGCTAGAGGAAAATGGGGGAGAATTAGCTAGGCCTGCAGCCTTGTGGCTTTCTGATGGAGAGAGAAGAAGCCTGTGCTGTTGACGGGCCGCCGTCCAAGTTTCATTACATAAGGTACTTGGTGCGGCAGTCAGTCGGTCCAGTTGCCGGAGCAGTCGTGTTGGGAATGGAGGTCAGCGAGGATGAGGTGGCCCGATTCGGTTACGTTTGATCGACATGAACCTGAGCTGTAGGTCCAGGAAACAGTACCTACCTCATGAACTGGAGGCGTTGATTTGGTGAGACCAGTAGTGGATGGCCCCCTGGAAGATTGCAGCCATCCAACCAAATGAGCCCCACAATCTATAGTCGTGCCGACCCACCACTGGCCACACGTCTCCTGACACATGCCGTCGCGATTGGGGTCCATATGGTAATCTGGGTCGCGTAAAACTTGGGGGAGCCTACCTCTCGATTTGGGCAGTCAAGGTGTTGGCAGGGACTTGCAGGTTAATCCACAACTCTTTTCTACCACGAACACAGCTGCTGCCTCACAAACGCAGCAGGATAGGCAGCGGATAACCTGAGATACTTCGCTCTCTAATATCTCTCACCCCTAACGTCCTCTTTGCTTGCGTGCAAGAGCTCTCTATACCACCATCCTTCGATTAGGCCGCCCGCTCCATCGACACCCCTGAGTTTGCTACCTGTTCAGCCAAACCGATCACGTCTCGACCATGACGACTGCGTCTCTCTAGATACCCCATCACGACCACAGACACCCACCATTCGACATGGAGGTGGCATCACCACAAAGCCCCGGAGCAAATGGCGTTGCTGCGGCTCCCTTCCCAACGATCGACCCGGTACGCGTTGTCGAGCACCTCGTTTCTGCCTGCGAGATAGCTCTCGGAGCGACCAGAGAAGATCTTGAGGCTTCTGGCAGCTTGCTGCATAAGAGCCGCTACACCGATACGATACAGCGTTGCAACCGTTTTGCCACGGATGTTCAGACAACCTTGTACATCCAGAAGGACATCATCCCATCATCGGGCATCCAGAACGGTGACGAGGAGCCAAGTGCGTCAAGCAACCTCCCCAGACCTGTTCGGCTTGTCACTAATGTTAAACACCTCGCAGAAGCACCGTCCTATGCGTACACTCTCACACCCGAGATCTCCTCTCTTCCCACAACCGTTTCGTCGCTCAGTCTCCTCAAGCGTTCGCAGCCGATCGATCCCGCGCTTCCCCTGTCCTCTCAATTACTTCTTACTAATCTGCCTGGCCCGGCTACTCTTAATGCCACTGTTGGCGAACAGGGCCCTTCCACTTCAGCTTTCGAGATTCTTCACTCTTACGTCCACCACGTGCTGGCCCCATACTTCGATGCCAATACCAAGAGCCAACAGCTGGCAAACGGCTCACGAGGCCGTGGAGACGTCGACTCCAAGACAGGTATCCCGGTCACGAAGAAGAGGTGGAACGATCTGGAACTAAGTCTGCTGCATCTGCAACAGAATGTCGAGATCCCGGAGGTCTCGCTTATTTTCCACCATGTCGTCCAAGGTGCTCTTGACGATGCCGCATCTCGGCACTCGAAGCCAAATCTCGAATCGATCCCTGCCGCGACCCTTGGCGACAGTAGCTTCCTCAACAACCTCCAGAGCAACGTCAATAGCTGGATCAAGTCGATTCAAGTCATCACAAAGATGACCAAAGACCCGTCCGGCAACTCTGCGCAAGACTTCAAGTTTACAGCCAGTCAAGAGGTGAACTTCTGGCTGTCCATGGAGTCGGCACTGGAGGGTATCGATGCACAGCTGCGGAGTGACGGAGTGACATTGACTCTTGATATTTTGAAGAACGCAAAGCGTTTCCAAGCAACCGTTAGTTTTGTCGCCGACACTGGGTTGAAAGAAGCCGTGGAGAAGGTCCAAAAGTACAACCAGTTGATGCGAGACTTTCCCCTCGACGAGCTTCTCTCTGCGACGTCTCTTTCGAAGCTCCAGGACGCCATTGTGCAGATCTTCAGTCACTTGAACAAGAAACTGAGGATCTGCCCCTATCCCATCCGAAGGGCTTTGCCGCTCGTGGAAGCAATCTCGGCCGACCTTGACGACGTTCTTCACCGACTGCTCCCTGGCATTGAGATGGTGAACCTCGATTACCAGGAATTCAAGGGTATCATGAAGGCTTGCGACGACATCTTCCGGACGTGGGACGACAGCATCAAAGAGTTTACAAACGTTGCTCGTGAGGTCACGCGCAGGAGGAACGAAAGGTTCATCCCCATCAAAGTCAACCCGAGACACGGCGAACTCCAGGCGCGACTCAACTATGTCAGCACGTTTCGAGACAACCACGAACAACTGCAACGCACTATTGTCAACGTCCTAGGACCCAAGGCCACGGGTGGCGGTGCTGTCGAAACTACCGTGTCGAATGGAGCCATTGTCATGGAGGAGATGGGCGATGTGGACGCCGTTGAGGAAGTCAAACAGGCTTGGGAAGCTCTCAGGAACGTCGATCTTCTGGATGTGTCCGCCGAGGGTACTCAGAGATGGGCCCGAGCGGAGAACCTCTACAATGAGCGGACCTCGCGAGTCGAGAATTCCATCATCTCACGTTTGCGTGATCGCCTCGGAACCGCAAAGAACGCCAACGAGATGTTCCGCGTCTTCTCCAAGTTCAACGCCCTCTTCGTACGCCCCAAAATCAGGGGCGCCATTGCAGAGTACCAGAATCAGCTCATGGAGCACGTCAAACAGGCCATCAATGCACTTCACGAGCGCTTCAAGCAACAGTACGGCCACTCGGAAGCCCATGCCATGGCCCAATTACGAGATCTGCCTCCCGTCTCTGGTGCGATCATATGGGCTCGACAGATTGAGTTCCAACTCGACGGTTACATGAAGAAGGTTGAAGATGTTCTCGGTGCCGACTGGTCCCTGCACGCCGAGGGACAGAAGCTGGAAAACGAGAGCAACCTGTTCAGGAAAAAGTTGAACACCCGGCCAATCTTTGAGTCCTGGCTCAGCGATGTCCAGAGGCGTCAAATCTCTATTTCTGGCTACCTCTTCGATATTCGCAGGATCCGTTCTGCAGGTGGCACCCTCGAACTGCTTGTCAACTTTGATCCGCAAGTCATCACGTTGTTCAAAGAGACTCGCAACTTGATGTGGCAGGAGTACAATATTCCCCATTCCATCAACACCGTCTCAAAAGATGCAAAACGGGTCTATCCATTCGCCGTTAGCCTCATGGAGAGTGTTCGCACATTCTCGCAGATCACCCGCCAGATTTCCGAGATGGGCGAAGAAGCTGTTCTTTTATTTGGCTACCGAAACGAAGCTTATGCCTTGGTCAACAAGGGTGTGCCGCTGCGTTGGGAATCGTTTGTCAACACCCACGAGCTCTTCTTCTCGGGCAAGAACAGTTCCATTCTCCCAGCCGGCACCGAATACGGTCTCGCAGGACGGAGCGCAGAAAGCAAACACAGTCTATTTATCCGCGAATTTGCCGCTGCTGCATCGCTGATGCAGAGCAAGACTGCCTTCCTGACGTCGATCCATGTTACAATCGAAGATGCTTTGTCACAGCTCAGCACATGTCCATACGAACCAGACGCGTTTCAGTCCCGTCTCGAGGCTATCCAGAAGGCCGTTGACCAGTTGAACCTAGAGCAGTACGTCAATCTGCCCTATTGGGTCGAGAATATGAACCAAAAGATCAAGGAAGTGCTTCTTGGACGTCTGCAACACGCCATCCAGTCATGGATTCAGGCGTTTGAAGACGACTATCTTGACGACGGCCGACGCAAGAGAGCCAACGAGAGCAACGACGAGGCGAAACCGGAGGGCCCGACAATCAAGCGCTTGGTGCACGAACTTACCATGCGAAACCAAGTCATCTATCTGGACCCGCCTCTGGAATTTGCTAGAGCGAGCTGGTTCGTCCATCTTCACGACTGGCTTGG